GTGAGGAGGAAAACAGACGGACAGTATAAAGCATTAATCGGGTGGAACAAAACGTTTAGAACTGAAAAGCGTTCATTAAGCATGAACCAAAACGGCGGTAGTGGAATCAGGGAGATTTCGCATGCCTTAATTCGACTGCGGATGAGAAGGAATTGAGATATAATGCAATCGAGGGGATTGGACAGTGGGCTTACAGTAGACAATATCTAAATGTATGGAAAAACCAACAGACATGTTATATAGTACCACGAAGTGGAGTAAAGCAAAGCAGTCTTCAAATAAAAATTACATGGACTGCCTCCGATTTCGCGGTGGCTGAGAGGCAAGAGCCTTAGATCCTCGCTCATGAAAGTCTTCTTCAAGGGCAACCCCACAATCTCAAACGCCATTCAGTCTTTTGTCCGCAGGAACCCTTCTACGCATGTCTACAGGATGCTCAGTATGCAGCTAGTTTTAGGCAAAAAGTATACTCGTTCTCAAAATATCAGATATGGCTGCACGTAAAACAAGACTGTCCAGTAATGATGCAGACACACATGTCTATCTCTCGACCCATTGAAATGATTTGCCAGCCGTCATTGCACGTCTAAATACATGGGCTACCTGAGTGCCGAACTTGGCACACTTATGCGACTCAGATCTCGGCTCACGTGACCACGTGCTCTTTAATGGCTGCCTACACTACCCACGGACTTTCAGCAATCGCCTCTGGCGGCAGCTTTGCGATAGTAGTAGTAGTAGTAGTAGTAGTAGTAGTAGTAGTAGTAGTAGTAGCAGTAGTGGTAGTAATAGTAGTAGTAGTGGTGGTAGTAGTAGTAGTAGTAGTAGTAGTAGTAGTAGTAGTAGTAGTAGTAGTAGTAGTAGTAGTAGTAGTAGCAGCAGCAGTAGTAGTAGTAGTCGTGGCAGTAGTAGTAGTAGTAGCCTCCATTTTACCAACTAAGAATGCAGCTTTGATAGGTTTTTCCGAGCGTATCGAAAATGGAAGTGCCTTAGGAGTGCGATACTTGACAGTCTAGCGCATCGTAGTTATAAGCTTGTTTCTGTAAAAACCTTCATCCTGTTGTCCATAGAAGAGGACTGAAGGCCTGGTATGTGAAGCATCAAACGAAAGAGTGTAGCGGAGAGGCGAAATTGTAGGCACGACAGAGGAAATAGTTGCTGGCCACAAATTAGGACAGGATAGGCCGTGGCCGATACACTTCCGTTCTCCTTGTGACAAATAGCCCAAGTTAATGGGGAAGCAACCTGGACTTCTGGTCGCAAATGGGAAACCTCTTTCGTGCGCGGCGAAGCATGGGCGGCGACTGCGTAGTTACCACCTGTCCTAGGACATATGTACAGAAGCAGCAACTAGTGCCTGACGCTCGCGGAAGCAAATATGGGTGTGGGCATGGGTTGCAGTCCAGGGCAGCGCTACAACGAATGTGGGCTAGAAACCAAACGCGGTCAAAAGTAGTGCGGTATGTGGGTGGGTACAGCAATATGAGAACTATCACCCAGGCCACAGAGAAGACAGGCTGCGGTAATCTAAACAGTGGACTGGTAGAAAAGAGTTTCTTCGACGAGCGACGGTTATAAAGAATCGCACGCGATCCCTGCCTATAAATTTCCCGAAGCTAATCATTTCCTCGACCTCAGTCGGTTGAGCTCAAGATCTCAACAACGCCGCACTACTTGGGACCGAAAACTCCACAATTCGAAATCTTGTTGTTTGGAAGGCTGAGGAGGTGTTGAAGCAAATGAAAAGTCAGATGGCTATTAGACTCTTAGATAAATCCAGCCCATGACTGGCTATGTTCAGTGCGCTTTCCCCAAAAAGAGGGCTGTTCTGACATACCGCTGGGTCACAAAGGGAACAGCGTAGGCTTCGTATGTACGCCCCCAAGTATTGAAACACACGCTAGTGGCGGGCGTTCGACAGGGTTCTACGTCACGCTAGCGACTGCACTCAATCACATCACCCCTCTCCCCACAGGCTCCGTGGGACCACTGATGCGTGGAGAAGGGTAAACAGAATGGGATCGATGTTGGGGTAAGCAGTCCTCGTGGCATTTTTACTGTAAATAACTGCATGCCCTCGACACTGTCACGCTACGGAAGAGACACGATCGCTGAAACAAGAGCTTTTTTAGCCCGACCTTACGGATTCTCACTCGAATCCATCAGCAGAGACAGTCAGATAATGGTGGCAAATTGCCCTTATTTGATTGTGTCTTTGATGATGGATTCTGTGTAGAATCCGAAAGGTCAGGCTAATAAAGTTCTTGTTCCAGCTATCGTGTCTCCCTATTCGCGACTACTTCCTGGAACTCGCCTCTCTGCTTCTATTAGCATACTTTCAAGCTACGTTAAACGTTGTAGGTTTAAAGGCTGCCAGTTGACAGAAAAACCCAATTATTTTCTAAACTCAGGGTCAGACTGCAATGGTGTCCCTCGCTTCCCTGAGATTCGAAGCCGTCTCGCCTTAAACTGGTGTATGCGTGAAGTTGGGCACAAACGACCTGTGTGATACGAGTCGACAGACTGTTGGACTGCGTCTGCCACTCCCAATCGACTTTACACTGGCATGCTATTGGAATACAGTGTAGGCGTGAGGGGGGGGGGAGACAGACTGAGGAGGGTAGATGCTGCGTCAGTCGGCCCTAGCAAAACTCGTGCGCAAGACATTACTGCGTCCCATTCGGTGAAGTTGCGATCGCCATTTTCCCGAATAAAAAACCACTTTGGGTCTTAACCGGTTATGGCTGGCTATTTCGCCCTAGTTTGAAAAAAGTGCGAAAACATGTGTTTAACGTAGCTCTGGTATCACTGGGTTCAAGTACGAAGCACCTGGGGGGTACGGACCATGCGGTGACCCAATGACCGCATTTAAGGTCCTACTTCGGGCAACGACTGGGCTTCTCCTGCGCTTTGCAGAAGCCGTTGCAATGCGGAGGAGAAAACCAGAACTCTGTAAGCAGGCGGATCACGCGATCAACCTCGCGCTGCCATGGTAAGGATCGGTAGTGGACGTAACCCCATTTCCACACCCGTATCCTCACTTCACCCCCCGCCCGCATGACCGACTGATGTTCCGTGCGTGCAGTTTTAATCACGTCCGACGAGTTTTCACTGTAACCTGAACTCGCTTGCTTAGATAACTTTCTTCCCCCTTCCCCCTCGCCATGCGCGCCCGCATATCAGTCCGTGTTTTAGCCTATCACGTTTCATCCCTCTAGGTCGATGTCTGATTGAACAGTTTATCTTATGAACATGCAATGACCGTACTCAGTTAAATAAGAGGTCACGAAACTTTATGGCGTCGCTAAATCCTGCATGTCGCGTCGCCTTTTTCAAATTTACTCCGGGAAAACAGTGCTGCAATAGAAAAAAAACAAGAAAATGGGCAGCGTTTTAGTAGGGAGGGGGGTATTTTTGTTACCAAATGCAATCGGCAACGGTATGGAGGAGGACCCCACTTTACTGTCGGTAGACTGTAAATCGTGTCATACGTGATTGGTGATAAAGGGATTTTTACGTGTGGGGCAGCACACTAGACGGCAAGATGACGAAATGCAGGAAAACACAGAAATTGTTTGGAGTTTTCCTGAAAGACTCATCGTACGCCTTCGTACGACAACGATAATAAACGCGGTAATTAAAAATAAACAAAAAGTAAACTTCAAGCAATAAAGGAGTTCGAGTGATGACTTAAAGTCATGGCAAGTGATTGTTATAGGCAGTGTAATGTCTGCAAAGGCCTGCGAATGGGTGCCAAGACAAAAGACCATATGACGTGATCCCCAGTCTCCCGTCGGTTAAGTGGGGTCCTTCTCCATACTGTTGCCCTGCAATCACCCGTTACCTGAACGACATCCGGCGTTCCTTCAAAACGCCTTGTCGATGGCCTAGGCCGGTCGCTATCAATTCCAATATTTTCGAATATTGACGTAGATTTTTTTCATTTTTTTTCTCATTTTTCACAAATACGAGGACCAGACTCTACGTCACCATCGTTGATTTGAAAAAAGGGTTTCGATGCAGACAAATTCGATCTGAGACCCCGGGCGCCCTTATTGCAGCCCGGTACATTTGGAATGGGTGCCAGGCCGTGTATGGCCGTTTAGCTTTGTCAGCCACCCAGCCCACGCCCGCCTCCGACCATCATGGCACCACCGCACCCTCGGAGCAATGCAGCTGAGAGAGGGGAGAGTGCGGCATATGCTAAGCAAGTCTGCTATCACTATAAACTAAGTTATGCGCAAGTCAAAGTTGCGTCCATTCCGTGAGGTGCGTCCTTTTTGGAGCTCAAAGGTCAACGTTAAATGGCAGATTAAATAGCACCCTTTAAATTCCTAGAATTTCCGAATGACAACGTGCAAGCGCTTAGGGAAAGCTAAAACCGGCACTGCAACTGACCTCAAAGTTCCTTAAGGCAGTTTGGTATGTGGGAGGGCCAAAGAGTTGCCCAAGATGTTACATTTCAGATGGGCAGAATTCATCCAGCAAGGGCTCAGAAAAAAAGGGTAAGATGTGGTTTGGTAGCCCCACCTGATGGACACAGTACGGCTGGGGTTGGGGTTAAGGGTTAGAGGTCAAGGCTAGGGGTTAGGGTTTAGGATAAGGGGTTAGAGTTAAGGGTTAGGGCAACTATTTCTCAACCATCCAAAGTACAACCGCGCATTTCTAATAGCCTTTCTTTTGCATACAATGACTCGACCTCGTCGTCTGCGCGCTCCCCGGCCCCACCTGTAAAACCCCTTTAACCACCGGTCGCGTATTAGAGGTGACTGGGGTTTGTTTACTTCGGGCGGGGCTACATAACCACATCCAACAGAAAAAAAGTTTGAAAGGCATTATGAAAAACACTATAGAAAGTCCGACTTACGCATCAGTCATGGTACGCAAAGACAGAAATAACCCATACTTCCAGACTTTAGTTATGAATGCAAAGGTCTCCTTGCCAGCGTACTACGCAGATGCAAGTTTTGCAGGAAAAAATAATATACAAAAGAGCTAATTTACGCACGTCTCTGTGGAGCAGTGGAGCCACTGGCACGGCGCGCGCGCTCAATCGCCGAAACAGTGTAGGGCGCGTTGTAGGCAGAGCCGCCAGTGATTGAGGTGGGCGAACTGTCTCGTGAGGGGCCCTGACTGCGGGGCAGACGTGAGGTTATTGAGGGTCTGCGACGCTCCGCCGCCCCCTCAATGCCAGCAGCGCCCCCAGTCAAAAAGGGGTTGCCCCGACGACCCACGGTGGCGCTGTAGCCTGCGGAGACGGGAGCTTGACGGCCATAGCCGCTGCTGGGGACGTATTCGTATTCGGACCCGGCGCGGGAGGCGGGTGAGGCTTCACGACTGGCGGCTAGGATGGAACGAGAAAAGCAATGGGAATACTGGCTGACTGAATCAAGGACAAAAGGAATGAGACAACTGTGTCAAAAGGACTCTGTGATTTTATGCTACTCCGAAATGCCAGATATTATCAGAAATTAAGCTTCCTCGAAATCGGTAACATGCTTGTCCCCCAAACTTGGTCTTAAGGGCCGTTTCCATTCATTTACTGGGTGTAATTACATCTAAACGAGCGTCACAATTGTCTTTCCCATTCAGGTCAGCTTTTTCAGCAGATATTTTGACATGTTTGTCTCTGACCGGGACGACGGGTTGCCCGTTAACCTAACTGCTGGCTACCCGGCGCGTCCACAGGTGACAGATAGTGGGACGATCTTCAGTGAGGGTTGGCTGCGAAATAGGCAGACCCAGGTCTGACGAATAAGCAGTCGCGGACCAGCAGCGACATTGCTACCAGAGTGCGGTGGGCTGAGGTCTGGCACGCTGGAAGCCTTATAAAAAGCTGCAAAGCTCAATGACGGCATTGTAACACGGCGACCGTAAACGGCCATTAAAGAGGTTTGCTTGCCACCGCTGCCTTGCGGTTAGGCATTTAAGCCAAAGCGCTAGAGGAGACAATCTCGGACAAACAATTCGAGCGGCTGTTGGGAACCCGTCCGTATTCCGAATTCCAAAGAAACCTCATGAAATATATTAAGTACAAGTAGTTTGTCTCTAAAGCCAGTGCACAAGCCATCAGTTGTGTAGATTCAACTCGCCTGATCTTTCTGATAGAAGCGTAGTAGGGCCTCAATAGGTTTAAAAACCTTATTTGTTTTCCAGTTCAAATTAAATCTAATTAGTTCAATACCCAAGGAGGAACAGCCATTGTGAAGCGGAGCGCATTAATTTGGGCAGAACTTGATTACCTTGAAGCAGGAATTTTTTTGGGGTCACGCACGGCAGGGTTTCAAATCAATCATTGAAAAAAAAAACTGGCCCAATATTCCCCCACATTGAAGTTTAACGGACAGGGTACTTGGCCGTACATCCCAGGTATACAAAACGTGCAGAGCTCATCCTCTAGAAATCACGCACACGAAAACAAAACAGACTAGAAAAGACGTGCAAAGGCCCGAATGGTTAACACAATAGGAAGTGAAGACGGGTTTTATTAAGCGAGTGCACAATTTACTGTATTGGCACTTTGGCGAGAACAGCGCGCTTCGCTGAAGAGGATTCAGAAAACCAGCAACTGTCATTTTATACCTTTGTCTATTCGTCGTTTTGGGAGTCACAAAACAACAAACCTAACGATCGCATCGCCATCCAACTCTACGCGCTAAACCGGCCGAGAGGTTAAAAGGCGTCCGAAGGACTGGCAAACCATTCGTCGTCAATCGCGGACAGACTTATGGGAACTGAGCGGATCAACAAAACATGGTCCTCACAGCCTGATGTGTGTCGGCAGCTTTCCGAAACCTGGTTCCCTGCCGGTACATATGCTTGCGCTCCCGCTGGGTAAGCAGGTCGTGAGCATGGCTGCCCAATCATCCAGTCTGACCCATAGTGGTGTTGCTGTTGTTGGTCAGACCAGGGGGGTGGGATGGTAAGCCGAGGTGCGGGTCCGGCCGTGCCAGCCGCCTGCAGCTTCGCCCGCCTCCGGCCTTCTTGACTCTGCCTTGACACCGAGTTCAGGCAAGGGAGGAGAGGGTACGCTAGATGCTGCGCAAGTCACCGCGCCTGCTTCACCTTCCTGTGGAGCAGGCGCGGTGGACATCGTCGGGCACGACGGTCGAGCTGCCGAGCGGAAACACAATCGGACGTGGCGTTGTTCGTGGCAAAAAAGTATAGTGTCTGCAGGCGGCGTCACGCTGGTTGGATAATGCGCAATTATAAAAGCCCGCACGCCTGTCGGGACAGGGCAGCTGTATGACTAGCTCTCGCAACCGACTATGACGAACTCATCCACCAGTTTCAGGAGGGAGGAAATCTTAAATATGGCTACGTTAGAATAGTATAACCGACAAAGACAAGGGAGACTGGAATGGCCATTTTTGGCTTATTAGCCGTCGTCAGCCAGCCATACCCAAGCCCGAAGTGTGGAACACCCGAGCCTCGAACTCGCGACCTGTTGGTTTAGAAGTCCACGCCTCTACCCACCGGGCCACGAGCCCGTTGACCTGTCGGTTTTCGATCGGTTATACTATTCTGCCTATATATCATGCGCCGCTGTGCGGCTGCTGGTTGGGCTCGAGAGAGAGTCCATAAGTCACAACGGAACGAGTGAGTTCCGTATGATCGATCGGTGAGCGCCCCCTACCAATGGCTAGGTTAGCTGAGGAAGGCCACTTGTGGCTTATTTGACACCAAGGACAAGCTTTCGTTCAAAGCTAATAAACCGCCTGCAAGGACTGTGGCCTGGAGGGCCATGGCGAAACAGTCACGCCCAATGGACGTTAATGAATGATTTCCTCAGGGAATTAGTCGCATCCAGCAGGTATTTTGCAGTCCTGCGGCAACAAGCCTTTTCTGTCTGAAGGATTTCCAGACTTTTCCTAGCAAACTTTATAATTGTTAGGGGCCGGAGAAGAGTTAAACGTTCAACATAAACACTGTTTCACCGCTTTTTTTTTGGGGGGGGGCGGTCGATTCAACTGACTTTCGCTGAATCAGGCGAGAGAAACCAGAAGAGCAGTTAGGCTAGTCGCATATACGAGCAAAAGAAACAGCACTACTGCGATACATTCCTTCACATTTCGGCAAGCAGAATGTAGAGTGACTTACGCTGCGACTGGGAGACTTTTTGTCCTGAACGTCCACGAGTTTCGGCATAGAGGCCAACCTTCGGTCGCGCACGATCTGCAAAAGAGTGCAAAGGTGAGATATGGCGATTGATTTGACCGCTTCTAAGTAAATAGGTAAAAAGGGGTCTCCAGGAAGCCCGTTTCACCTCCGTAAATGCAGTTTAGAATCCAACCACTTTAGCTGCGTCCTAACTCCCCTTTGGATACTTTCATTTATCAACGAGGTGTGTGCGCTCGTTAGGAAAGTGAAGTCAACCTTTAAGATCGTTAGACGGACTTTGCTGAATACAGGCTTGCTGGTGGCTTACTGATCGAACCAAAATGGAAAACTCTCGAAGTGAGTACTGAAACTGCATAGAAAAGCACACTTTGGAAAGCGGAGAACTGACGCCTTCATTATCCGAGGTTACCGTCCAGTTATCCGGCTGTGAAGTTCTGTACGAAAGCGTGTACAGTTAGCATTGTCAGTCTAACCCGCAAAATGCCACCTGGTTATCCTAAGCAGGCAAAATGAGGAAGTGAAATTCTTGAGCCTCTGATATTTTATGCTAGCTGGCTTCCCTGTCAGTGAAAACTCGGTCTCTCGTATGGACAAATTAGTAAGTTATCTGATTGGCTACAACTCTGACCGCTGTAGGAAACAATAAAAAACATTCAGATCACGAATTCTGCGGCCCTCGCGTGTCTTTACGTGCGCACGTGTACACACGACAGTTCGACCATCGTGACCGACGATATCCACCGTAGCTGCTCCGTCCACAGCAGGGTGGGATCAGCGACGATGACTTGAGCGTGATTTATTTTATAGTGATAGTAGGCTTGCGCGGCATCGCCCATTCAACTAGGTCTCGAGTCAAGAAGATAGGGGGCGGAAGAGGGCGCAGGTGTCTGGCACGGCGCCAGCCTGCGTCAATAGGTGGGCTAACTCATGAAATGTCAACCGAGATTCCGAAATGCGTTTTCGTTTCGAAAGGATTAATTAAGTGGTGTTGTAAAACTAGTCAGCCTTCAACATATTTCTATAATATCTCAGTTGCCTCAGGATTCCGGCTTTCGAAGGAACTTCCTTCCGGCTGCATGCAAAAATTTCACTCTGTAAAAAAGGACTAATTAAAAAGCATGAATTTTTCTCATTGATTTTCGATGCCCTAAAAGCCCACTTATCGTTCATGGAAAACACGCATAAAATATTTATTCTTTTGCTCATTTGGTAGAGAATTACGTCTTCTTATATTCGAAGGTTTTCAAGAACTTTTACAATTTCCGAATAATTTTGAACCCACTCTACTGTTACACTTGGATTCAGGGTTTCTAAACTACAAGCCGTATATTTTCTTCGTACGTAAAACCACACATTTGTCTACGGTAATAAAGGGGGACCATATCGGGTTCATAAAATTCAGCAGTGGATTTGATCCATATTGTCAACTTTACAAGCCACATTGGTAAATGCAGACATGACGATTTATGAACGGCCATTTTAGGGTATTTAATAGTCCCACAATTAGAAACTTTATTAAAACCGGATTATATACCTCCTTCGAGTATAAAATTAAAAGAAGACCTTATTATCTACCGAAGGTGCAAAAGAATGAATATTTTTATACATGTTTTCCAAGAAATATAATTGAATTTTTAAGGGCATCGAAAATGAATGGCGAAAATTCATGCTATTTAATTAGTCCTTTTTTACAGAGTGAAATTTTCGCATGCAGCCGGAAGGAAGTTCCTTCGAAAGCCGGAATCCTGAGGCAACTGAGATATTATAGAAATATGTTGAAGGCTGACTAGTTTTACAACACCACTTAATTAATCCTTTCGAAACGAAAACGCATTTCGGAATCTCGGTTGACATTTCATGAGTTAGCCCACCTATTGACGCAGGCTGGCGCCGTGCCAGACACCTGCGCCCTCTTCCGCCCCCTATCTTCTTGACTCGAGACCTAGTTGAATGGGCGATGCCGCGCAAGCCTACTATCACTATAAAATAAATCACGCTCAAGTCGTCGTCGCTGATCCCACCCTGCTGTGGACGGAGCAGCTACGGTGGATATCGTCGGTCACGATGGTCGAACTGTCGTGTGTACACGTGCGCACGTAAAGACACGCGAGGGCCGCAGAATTCGTGATCTGAATGTTTTTTATTGTTTCCTACAGCGGTCAACGTTGCGCGCTAGCTTTTCCGCTGATCAGGCTCGTTTGTGTGAGTAAGAAAACCCGTACATATATATATATATATATATATATATATG